GCCGGCTGGTCAAATGCAAGTCACATTATGAGAAATTATGAGAAAACCCAGGAAGCTCTGTGTGCTGCACGGGGGTCAGAAGCAGTTAAGAGCTGGGGCTCTAGAGGCCAACCTGAGTGAGAATCCTGACTCCTCCACTTCCTGGGTTGGCCCTGGGGCAGGATACCTCACCTCCTCAAGCCTCAGTGTTCTCATATGGAAAATGGGGATAACATTATGAGCTACTTCATGGGGTTCTTAAGGGAATTAACTGAATCAAGCACGATGGACACCAGACACCGCTGTTTTTGGCATTTAGTAAGTGCCAGAACTTGTTAGCTATCATTCCTCCTTCTCCTATAATTATTATCATTAATTTCATTAATATTAATGAGGAGAGAGACACACAGAGAGAAGAAAGAGCCTGTGGGCTGCCTTTCCACCTTACCATGAGAGAGAAATTGGTCCCCAGAGCTGCCTCAGTCCCTGAATGCTTTCTGGGCCCAGTTCCTGTGCTGAAGCATGTGCTACAATACAAAGGCACTCCTTTTGTGTGTGTGTGTGTGTGTGTGAGAGAGAGAGAGATTCCTCAAATGAACCTTTGTTCTTGCACAAGGAATGATCCCTGCCCAAGTTCTTGTCTTCCTCTTGTGTCTGGGCTTGAGCTTCCCACACAGTTCAGCAGAATGCTCTGTCTACACTGCAGTATCCTGCCTGGCCTTGAACACAGCTGATGCTCAATGTTTGATGAATGAATGAATGAATGAATGAGATTCCATGTCCTCTTTAAGGAACCTATGGAAGGCCTGTTTTTAGGAGACTCAGAAATCCATGGGGTACACAGTTGCGAGAGACCCCCTGGTTCGTGGCTTCATCCCTCAAAGCAGGGAAGCGGGAAGGCCAGGACCGAAGAATGAAGCTGCAGGGTCCTCTCCCTGAGCTGGCCTTGCCCACACGCTGCCAGGCTTTGCCTCTTTTTTTCCTTACTCCCTCTGGCCCCAGGAGGAGGGGCATTAGGGTCATAGGAGGGGCAATTGAGGGAAGAGATCTGTTGGGTCAGGTTGCCAGCCTGCTGCCATGGGGCCCAGGCCTGCCTCCCTCCCGGGTCCAGCCTCACTCCCTCTACTCCCCCATCCATGTCTGAAATGTCACCCACACGCGTCTCTTCAGACCCTCACATTTACTGTGCTCTGTCTTACTGTCTGTGCGTGTGCTCTTCCTTCCCTTCAGGTACCCTTCTTCACCCCTAAAATTCCTACTAGTCTTTAACACCCAGCTCAGAGCCAGCCCTTTCTGGAACCTGGGACTCCCAGGCAGGGTTAAATGCTCTTGCTCCATTGTCCTAGCTCAATACTCCAATTACCTGTGTATTTGTCTGTCCTTCCCTGAAAATGTACCGAGGACAGGAATTATGTCGTTTATCATTGTGACCCCAGTGCTTAGCAAAGGACTTGGCACATAGTAGGTTTTCACTGAGCATCTGTTGACTGAATATATGAATGTATCAATAGATTAATTTTCTCCCAGTTCTGGGATCCCTGGATCCTGCTATTTTCTTTTCTTCTCTTAAGCATTTCTTGAAGAAATGCCTTCTGTAATCCTGTGACAATTTCTCCCAAAGCCACCACTACTCACCACCAGTCCTGCCTGAGCAGTATCTGGCATCCACCATGCAGGACACCACAGGGTTATGGATTTTGAAGCTAGAGATTCAGGGCCTAGGGACTAAGCAAGGGACCACAGGGGAAAGGACAAACTGGGGTGAGCTAGGGACTTGAATGTCTTCATTGGCCATTTGGGTCCTAATGGGTGGTTCCAGGCTGTCTCTCCCAGACAGGCCACTGGCTGGGCCTCTGGGCATGCCTGCCACTTGCCCGCCCTCCCACCTCCTTGGGCCCAGAGCTGAGCGGCTGGCGGAGGCAGTGCTGGGCCAGCCCAAGCAGACAGCCTTGCGCGATTGCTGGCTCCAGGCCTCCCAGCCCAGCTTGTAGCTCCCCCCAGAGTGGCGGGATTGATTGGCTGCAGCCGGAATGGGCACCAGTCTCCCTGGCTTGGACAGAAACGGGGCCATCTGTTACACCTCTAGTTAAAAGTACATAAAGTTGAGCATTTGTGCGCCGACAATACCACCCCTGACACCCTCCACGCGGCACAGCGCTCCGGCTCCTTGGCAGGCTTGCGCTCCGCCACAGGCCGGCACAGCAACGCCTCCATGCTGGCTGGGTTGGCACCAGTGCAGGCACCACAGCTCCACCCCCCGTGCGGCCTAGCCCAGCTGGGTCTAACCTAGAAGCTTGGATCCCACCTGTATCAGAGAGTGAAGGAAAGGATGGGGGGTGGAGGTTGTACATTGGTGGGCAGCTCCTGACCCAGCTCAGGGTGCCTAGGGTGCACATGATGTCAGACTTCAGGTTCTGATTTGGGGCGACCTAGGAGAGCTGATCATGCTAGTCCTGGGTCAGGCTGGCTCTGGGATCATGCCAGGTCTTGGGTTTCCTGCGCTAAGCCAAGCAGAAGAGTCCATCTTCTCACCCAGTAGGTCCATGCACCTTGAGTTTGGATCCTCCATGGTGGCATCTTACACCAACTGAAAGGACAAGTTTGGGTGAGGCTGGGTTCTGGGTTTTGGCCTTTGGCACAGAGTTCTAGATTCTGGTGTCTGGGCTCTAGGATGTAGAACCTGATTTCTAAACCCAAATTTCTGGTCTCTGGCTCAGGCCTAGACATTCAAGGCATTCCACAAATATCTTTTCCTACTTACCTTCCTCTGGGACTCCAGGCCAGACTACCTATCTCCCAAAACTGTGGCGAGCAGTCTTGCCTCTGCTCCTTTGCTCTCGCTGCCCCCTCTCACTCCAACTTGACAGATTCCACTTCTTCTCTCTAACCTCTCAATCCTTCCCATTCTTCAAGGCCTTGCTCTAGTCCCACATGCCAGGCAGACTTCTCTGGCTACCAGGCTCCTCCCTGCCTGGATCTCCCGGAGGTCCCCTCCACGACCTGAATGGTTTTTTATGAGTATGTCCAGTATGACACTTGAGCTCCTTCTGCACGTGTAGAAACTGGGCTGGCCCTGTCTTAACTGCAGCCTGCAACAGGGCTGAGGGCACATTTGGGAGAAGGCTCTGGAAGTGCCAGCCTGAACTCAGCTCAGCTGTGGGGGAAGGGGGCTTTCCCGAAGGCCATTCTAATGGATTCGCTGGTCACAACCTGGAAAGCAGACGGCCAGGTAGACAGACAGCCTTTGATTATTTGTGTGTTATTTTAATACATATTTATTGCACATGTGCTATGTGCCTCATCCTGTGTGGGGCATGGAAGAGGAGAGGGAATAGTTAAAAAAAAAATGAGATCAGACACAGTCCCTGCCCTCAAAGAGCTTACCCATGATTAAAGGCCACGAGACAAGTCCAAATAACTATAGGGCAACAAATCGTCCAAAGTCAACAAAAATGCCCTTTGTCTTAAGCAACAATAGACTCTCAGAGCTGGAAAGGACCCAGAAGGTCAGAGACCAATATTCCATTGTCAGCCAAAATATGTTTATATATGTTACGTGATATAATGTGGGTAAAGCTCTTACTTGGCATAGAGTAAGGTGATAGTAAAATGATGAAGATGATGGTGATGATGGCAATAAGACTGATTATTCGCCTTCTCAGCAGGATCTAAGCATATTCCATCTATTGGGGGAGCTCACTCCCACATACGGCAGCTCCTCCCACTGTTTGCACTCTACCCTTCAGAAAGCCATTCACAAGGAGAAGCTGAAACCATCCTGGGAAGCTCCCACCAGCAGCCTACAGGGTGTGGGGTGACCTGGTACAGTGTCCAAGGAAGCGGTATGAGGACAGAGGAGGACTGAGAATTATGGTAAGGTGTTAGTCCTAACTAGGGAGACTTACCTGCCTACTCCAATCCTTTCCTGCACAACACCTCCTTCTAGCCTGGGGGAGTTGCCCCCATCTCTCCCGAAAGCACTGGTGGTACAAGAGCCTAAGAAAGGCTGATAGGCCCAAATCAGGGCCCTAATAGAATCTGTGGTGGGCCTGGATATGAAGTTATGTGACTTTTACTCCTCCCCATGGGCTTCCCTAGGTAGTGTGTATGTGTGTGTGCTCACACGCATGTAGAAAGCAAGAGGTAAAGCTTATAGGCCATGGAAAACCCTGGAGGATGGGGGTGGGGTGGGTGCTGAAGGGGAAGGTAGGGAGCAGAGGCCATGGGGGAGGGAGGGAATCAGTCTGCACACTCTGTCATCTGCTATGCTACTTCCCATCTGAGTCACCTCAGACAAGCCACTTGACCTTTCTGAGGCTCGATTTGCTGACTGTAAATTAGACCACAAAGACTGCCTGCCTACAGGGAGGACCACGGCAGGGACTACTGTGACAGGCCAAGATCCTTATAAAAGTCGGGTCACGTTCATCCACTGCGGGTGGGGCCGGGGCATGCGGAAACCTTCTAGGTGCCGCACCAACTGGAGTTGCACTTTGCTCCTCACTCTAGGCTGGGGTCCAGTCGGGGGTCTGTGTCGCCTAGGTCCACGTTTGCTGCCTCTTTGTTTCTGGCCCTCATCGACCTCATCCCGATAAATCCCTTTTCCCCCCTTTCCTCTTTGTAAAGCTCTGCACACCCCCACGGCCTCTTCCAGGAAAAGAGCCCTGAGAGGAAAGCAGCTATAGAATTCTTCTTCCCATGTTCTCAGACACAAGCCGACTGATGCCCACGGCGGATCAGAATCACAGGGAAAAGGGGATGGGGGAACTTGAACTCGGCTTTTTCGAGCCCCTCCTCCCAAGCTGGGGCCCGAGGGGAACCGAGAGACCGCTGGGGTGAGCCTGGGGCTGGGAAGAGTAGCAGGCGCTGGGAGCGGGCGGGGCGCGCGGGGCGGGGCGGCGCGGGGCGGGGCGGGGCCTGCGCCTCCCCAGGCCGGCCAGCAGCAGGCGCTGCGGCCGAGGCGCCCTCGGTACCCGAGATTAATTTAAGAGCTCACACTAATATCCCTGGCTGTGTGGAAACAGCGTTTTATTAAATGCTTCACACAGATTTGGTATAATAAAGATGAATATATTATATCCTTTACCTCCCCCAGAGTGAGACAATAATAAGAGAGGAAAAAAAACCAATAAAGTGAAGCATAAATACAATGTAATGGGACTTGTGTCGAGGGACGCGTGGCCTGTCGGGGCTGCCACGGGGTGACTCTGCGGCGGGAGCTCCGGACGGTGTCGCCGGGGAGGCGGACTCCAACCCTTCCCAGCCCGGCCGGGGGTTCCCAGGCCCCGGTTTCCAGCCTGCCCAGCCCCGAGCCGGCATGGCCAGTCCCAGCTTCGCAGCCAGGAGGACTCCTACCTGAGAGGCACGCAGGAGAGGGGACAAGACTGGGACGGAGCGGCGTCTGGCCAGCCCCCCGCCCTGTGCGGGAGGGCCCTGCGCACCGTCCCCCGCGGTGCCGGGGACGTGGGCCCCACCGGAGGGACAGACGCCAGAGCTGATGGACAGGCTCTAAGGAGGAAAACTCCGGGAGCAACGGGCTCTGCGTTGGGAAGAGTTGGCCTCCCCGGGCTCTCCCGGAACAAGCCGGAAGTCCCTCGTTTGGGTCTTACTTCCAGCCTTCTCTAGGGGCCGCCAAAATCGTTTACCTGCAAATAAGGATTTCAAAGTTTCCCCAGCACCGGGGGCAGCGGATGGCAGTAGGGACTCTAGAAGGTTCAGCCCCACCTTGTGCCTGCTCAGGTCGCCACCGCCGGTGGAGCTGCTGGACTTAAACTCAGCAGCGCTTCCCAGCGCGATCTGGGTTCGAGCCCCACCTCTGGCGACACTGTCTCAACCTCAGTTTCCTCTTTGGTGAAACGGAGACGTTGTCAGAATTGGAGAGAAGGTTTCTAACGCCTAGTACCCCGTCAGCTGTAAAAAAAAAAAAAAGAGAGAGAGAGAGAAAAAAAAACCCCAGCTACCAGCTGCCCCCCTAAATATTCGTTAAAATAAATAGCCACAGCAAACCTACAATTTTCGCGAACCTCGCTTCCTCCTTGGGGCCCAAAGCAGGCAACCCCTTTCCTCAAACGAATGAAAAGGCTTAGTCTCCTGCCATCGCGATCCCTAAGTCCCCTGACCTTCACCCCCGGCCAGGCTCAGGCAGGTTGAAAGACTTACCCGAGACCACACAGCCCACAGGCGGCGGGGCCCGCTGAGGCCGAGGTGCGGTCACAGCCCCTCTCGCCGGCTGCCTCTGCCGAGACGCCCGGGCCGCCCAGGTGTGGACGTCGTTCCAGGCCAGGCCGAGGGCTCAGAGCTCCGCCTGAGCCCTCGGGAGGGGCCGAGTTAGCCCAGGCCTCCCCAGGGGTCCGGGCTGTGGCACTAACCAAACAAACGAACGAGAAGGAAAGCATAGAGGCGGAGGGAAGAGGAAGAGGAGGAGGAGGAGGAAGGTGCAGCAGGAGAGATGGATTCTTGGGGGTAGGGGGAGGCGGCCTGGAGGATGGGCCAGGGAGCAGCCTTCGGTGGGGCGCCTGGGACTCTGCTGGAAATCAGGCCGGGCCCCTGTCCGCGCTGCCCCGGGAAGACCCGCGGGGCCGCTGCGAGGGCCCACGCTGAGGTTCACCGGGTCGGGGCGAAGGGCAGGCGGCTCAGGAAAGAGCTGGGTCGACCTAAGGGGAGGAAGAGGCGTTGGGAGAGCTGGAGGATGCAGGCGGCGGTCAGTGTGAGAGGGGAGGAGCGCGATCCCTCAAGATCAGGAGCCAGGGACACGCGGGAATGGAAAAGCCAGAAGGAGCCAGTTCCACGCAAACGAAATAAGGCTGAGGGCGCTACTTATTGAGCTTCTCTTCCAGGCACAGCGGCCTGGGGCTCATGGCAGGCCTCGCGCGAAGAGATACAGCTGCTTGCTGCTTGCGCGTGCAGAACTGGCTCCACGGGTCCAGGACAGGCGGGCGCAGAGCACGGGGAGCCAGGGGGTCCAGAGTCCGTGGAGGGTCCGGAGGCTTCCCCGCAGCTTCACTTCCAGCCTGGCGCTGACGAAAGCAGCCCTGGGGCATCCCGGCTCTGAGCACAGGCCCGAGCCTGCCTCCTCCACTTCGCTCAGAGCCACACTGCCCAGTTCTTGGTGCTGCTGGGCCCTGGAGTCACTGGTTCCTGCTAGTCACACCACTGCGTCCCTTGGCCTGGCCTTGGGCCTGCCGCCTGCCCGCTCTTGCCTGGTACCTTGAGAGCAGCTTAGGTGGGACAGCACTGCCCCGCTGTCGCTGTGAGGCCAGAAGGGACAAGGCACCAGGGAGTCTCCTGGGACATAGCAGGGCAGAATCCAGGATAGGAGGGGGGCAGGAGGTCTTCTATCCCGGCTCTCCACCTCAAGCGAGTTAGCGATCGCTTCCCCTCAGTGGGAATGCGAAGGGCGGTGGGGGTGGCCGCACTAATGCAATGAGCCCCCACGCGGCTGCTGAATTATTCACGTGCTGTTTATTATGAGAAGCCTGACTCAGGCCTTCCCCGCGCCCGCCTAGTGGGGCTGGCCTGCTCCTCGTTCTCCCCTTTCCCTGCTTCAGTCCCTCCACTTACTTGGCTCAGAAGCCGCAGCCTTGTCCCAACTTCCCCACCCCTGTGGCCCCAAACAGCCACCCCACAAGCTCACCAGCGCCTTCTGCAGGCTGCAGACCTGATGCAAGTGCAGGAAGGACCAAAGATTTCATCGCGACTCTAGCAGCTTGCTGCTCAGGCGGCAGAGGGAGGAAATGTGGGGGTGTTCTGGCTCTCCTCCGGGCTGGCACTTCTGGCCTCCTGCTTGTCTGTCTTCTTTGCCAGGAGAGTGGTCCCCACTTCTGCACCTAGCGAAATGCTCCTGGTTCTTCAAGGTGCAGCTCAAATGCCACCTCCACTGGGACAGAACCAGACTCCCCCCACTTATTTTTACCCTCATCATGGTCCTCTGCGCTACTGTGGGAGGGAGTGTCTGTTTCCTTTCACCCCTGCCTGCCCATCGCCCTCCATCTTCTGTCTGTTCTTCCTCTCTGCTTCTGCACCCAAAACATGATAGGGGCTCAGTCCTGTTTTTTAAGAGAGAGAGAGAGAGAGTGAACAAACTTCATTCCTTAATCAGGCCATACCACAGCTGGGTCCAGAACCCAGGACCCTCCCCCCATGACCAAAAAGCATTAAATAATGAGGCTCCTGTGCCCCTCTGAGTGTGCTGGAGCAGCAGGGGGGCCTCACACATCTGCACACAGCTGGCAAAACAATGTACCTTCCCTTCCCTCATCCCCCTGGTCCTCTCTCTGGGGCGCCGATTGAGGTCCCTGCCTGGCTCTCTTTTGTCTCTTTATTATTTGTTTAGTTTATTTATTCAGTAAATGAATGAGGAGACTTTGGTATATGCCAGCCTAGCATAGGGCATGGAGAAGAAATTCAAGTCCCTTCCTCCCCAAGTTCACAGCCAGGTGGAGAGAGAGGCAGAAGGGCAAACAGACAAATAAGCACATCCCTGGCAATCTGACGTGACACCAAGGAGGTGTGTGCCAAGGAGCACAGAGGACCTGAACAGGTCAGGGGAGACTCCCTCAAATGAATTAAGCACTGAACACAGAACAAGAGGTGCCAGGAAGGAAAGTGATAGAAACCCTTCCGGCCCCAAGACGAGGGGAGCAAAGACTTGGGACCAAAAAAGAGGGCTGTTCTGGAAGCTTCAGAGTATGGTCATCTGGGCCTTGAGAACCCCAGGAACTGTCTCTCGTCCCCTCTCTACCTGTCTCTGTCCCTCAGTGGTCTGTCTAGGCACCCCCCCCACACACACACACAAACACACACTTCAAAAGGGCAGTCTCCCTATGTAGGACATGTGTCGGGGCCAGTGTCAATAGACTCTGAAAGAGAAAAGAAGTGGGGAGAAGAGAAGCAGGAGGGGTGCTCTCCAAAGCCCTGCTGTGGCCATAGACCTTGCCCCCTTTGCTACACAAGGTCCTGGGAGCTGGGCCTGGCCAGAGACAGCGGGCAGCTCCAGAAGCAGGAATGGAGCCTGTCCTGAATTTTGGAGCAGCTGGCTCCCTACTCCCCCAGGCGGTGAGGAGGCAACTTCCCTCCCCCTAGCCTTTCCCCTTCCCCTATTGGCCTGCTTGTGGCTTTAAACTTTTCTGGATCTCCAGCCCCTTTTGTGAATCCAATGTGTTATGTAATACTGCTCTTGGAAAAATGTGCCCACTTGGGCTCATATACACAATTTAACACACAGTTTCTGGGATCTGTATGCAGAGCCCCTGAAGCCCATTCAAAGGGCCACTGGGGGCCTCTGGTTAAGAACTCCATGGTTCTGGGATTAAGACTTGAGTCAGAAAAACTAGTCTTCAAATCTCAATGACTCCAAAACAGGCTGTGTGATTTTTGATGGGTTACTTAACTTCTCTGGGCCTCACTTTTCTTATATGTAAAATCAAGGTAATAACACTAGCTACCTCACAGGTTGTGAGTAATATATGAAATGAATAAAACTCTTAGCCTGAAGCCAGGCACATGCAGTAAGGGCTTATGGTGTTTATTGTCATGGTTATTGTTGCTGTTACTGCAGATGGTGGCCCAGGGCAGAGTATAAAAACCGAGTGGGCAGTCCCGGTTCAGCCAGGGCGGCAGGAGGCCATCTATCGGAGTCTGCCTCTATAGCCGAAGAAACGCTCACTGAATTCCACAAAGAGAGTCTTAGTAGCCGGTCCCCAGGCGACAAAAATGATCCCAATTGGTGGTCAAGGTAACTCATTTCAAGAAGCGCCAGAACCTTTTTTTTTTTTTTTTTTTTTTTGAGGGAAGCCTTGGCCTGAGGGCCAGTGCTGGTGCTTACACAAATAATCTGGAAACAAACGGGCTACTGAAACCGCCTGGATTAAAGCCAACGAAGCCTTTGGACATTTACTTGAAGTATTCTCTTGTACTAAGGAATAAGTCATTTTGCTTGAGTCTACAGGGTCCCCTTATCCTGGCAATTCATGCAATACTCTTTCCTTCCTCTTTGTCTGGAATATTCACTCAAATAAGGGGAAAGCAGGTTTTGGGCAGAACAATCCCTTTCCCTGGAGACAAAGTAAGGCTGGACCCTGGTGGTAGAGGCAGGGCAGCAAGCATGAATTCAGGAGTCAGGATACAGTGTGGGCCAGGCTCTAAAGACAGGCATTCCCTCTGCGGAGCAGACTCAAGGGACGAGCTACTTCCAGCTCCAGGGAGATGCCACCGGCTCAGCTTCCTGGGGGCTGGGAATCCCCCAGTGTCTTCCCGACCCAGCACAAGATCCCAGGAAGGGGGCTGGGTGGAAGGGTAGATCCTGGAGAGCAGCAGCAGGGTTTTTTCCCACCCCTCTGTCCCCGAGCTACTCCTTCTTTCAATTTTCACAATCTCCAAAACTCCTCTGAGGGGGGCAGTCAAGGCCCAAGCCTTTCCCCTCCACAATACACAAACATTTGTACTTCATTTGCTTGCTAAAAAACTCATTCAACCAATACATGGAGGGCGCCAGGTGAACTCACCTGGCCTGCGCAGGTCTGAGGTGTACGGACATCCCAGGTTAAGGTCCCTGCGCTCGAGGACCTCCTGGTTTGTCTGATGGGAGAAGGAGTGAGTCTGATTGCAGACCCAAAACACAGCTCCTTGCTCTGCAGGAGGGGTATGGGAAGCTGGTGGGTTTGGGCTGCCAGGAGTTTAGAAGATTCCAGCCACTTACACAGTGGGGTCTGGAGTCTGGGGAACTGCTGGGTGTGGAAGAGGTTGGTGGGGCAGTTAGGCTGGTTTTTGAAAATGACCTGCCGATGCAAGCAGGGGACCCTAAACAACAAATTGGGTGGGTAGCACTCCCGGGGCACCCCCGAGCCACTAGCTGTGCTAGGCTGGAGCTGTTTGGCTGCTCTGGAGATCAGCAAATTAGGCCAAAACACTAAAGCCTCAAGATTGAGTCGCAGGTATTGCTGAAGGGAAGAAGAGGTGTGGCGACAGTAGGTGGAAGAGGTAATATAGATGACTGTAGAATGTCTTGTCTACTTTGACATGATGCAGTTGAGAATCAAGGTCCCAGGAAATAATGCCCTAGTAGAGGAATTCTATGCTCCCACCCCCCCACCCCCTCCCCCGGCTCCCTAATTCCATTCCTCATCTTCCTGGCAGCCTCACAATAACATTAAACTTCACTGGTCCTGAGGGACTGGGAAATGGGCAACAGCAGGGTTGTCCTTAAGATCCTGTCCTACAGGCCAATATCAGGTGTGAATACTGGAACAGACAGGAAGAATGAAAGAGGAGGAGTATGGGGGGAGGCCCCTCCCAGGATAAGGAACTAAGAGTTCCTGCTCCCTGCTGGCAGGAGGGATGCGGCTCGCCTCCTGCTCTGGGTCAGGGCTTTGGAAGTAAAGGGCTGTGGGCCAGAGGCTGAGGCAGGATCCTCCAGGCAGGAAGTGAGAGGAGAGGGCAGACCTCTCTTGGTCCCAGAGCTTCCAAGGCAGCAGGGTCCAGCTCCCTGGCGCCCTCTCCCTCCAGTCCCTCTCCACCATCTCTGAACTCCCACTCCGTGGTGCTAGGCCCGGCATCAATCACCTCACGGCTCCCAGAACAGCACTGACGCACTGGAGGCCGACCGGCCTTGGGGATAGTTTTGCAGCTCTGGGGGAACTGAGAACCCCATTCTCATCATCTCTGCCTCTGAGCACCTGTCATCCCCCCAAAATGCAGGACAAAGATGGAGCAGGCGCTGGGATCCCAAACAAGAATCTTTTCTCCCCGCATTGTCCCTTTTACTCTGGAGAGCTGCGAGCCATGTTCCCAACAAATAACTGGAAGGGAGATAAAGCAGCCCATTTCCAATGCACTGAAGCCCCTGTGCCGGAGGCATCCAAGGAGAGAATCTGTGCTGGACCGCACAGCCCAGCTGGGCTCGCTCCCTCTCGGGGGCAGGTATGAGAGGGTAAGAAGCCCAGGAGGTCCCGTCCTTCCCATCCCAACCTCTGGGCTGGGCCACTGTCCTCTGCACTGGCCTCGCTCGGCCCTTCTCTCAACCGAGCGGGGCTGCAGGGTGGCACTGCCTACCCAGGAGTTTACAAACAAAGCCAGGGAAACGGCTGGGGCTGTGTGGGAAAGGAAACAGTTCTGCCTCCATTGGCTCCAACCCCTTCACCTCCCCCCTTTCTCCAGGCGCAGAAATGGAAAATCAGGGTGGTGAAGCCAGCAGCCCCATACAAACCAGATGAGGGGAGCCCGAGCGAAAAGAGCCTGGGGCACAGCCCCAGGTAAGGGTTCATAGGTAAGGGTTCAAACACACATCGGTTTACACAAATATAAGCGTGGAGAACGACACACGAATATACATATTCAAAAACATAAACACAGTCAAAGATCAATGCACACCAATGCCCGCCTGGCATACACAGAGTGCGGGGCCATAGGGTTGCCAGACCCCAGTCCGACCTGAACCCAGGCCTCCGTGCGGGTTCCTCACAGCACAACCCCAGCCTTGGTCGGGCCCCCTCCCGGCCCCCGCCCCGCATCCGGAACAGCTGGAGTCGGCCGGGCGGTGCACTCCAGCCGGGCGCTGGGCTGGGCGGGGCCGGCAGCGGGGCGCGGGGCACCGGCCCGGGCCCGGCAGAGCGCAGCGGGGAGGCCCGGAGCCGGCCCGTTAGCCCCGGCACCGGCCGACTGCCGGTCAGACCCCGGTCACCAGGCGGCCTCTAGAGCCTTGGCCCGAGATAAGTGTGCAAGATTGCTGGGGGAGGTAAGTCTGCCCCTTTGGGATCTGGCCCGGGGAGAGGTGCTGGGGCCACCACCAACTCCACTCCCCCTCTCGTCTAGGGAAGGCTGAGTCCTCTGACTAACCCCCTCCCCCAGCCCCCGGGGTTCCCACCCCTGTGCCCTGTGTCGCCTCACGCAGGGCTGCAGAGCCCGTGTGGACCTCCTGATTCCCTCTTCCCCAGGCGCGTGGCCCGAGGCCGCGAAAGAGTGTAGGGGCAGGGGCGCTGGGTCCTTGGTCACAGCTCGGCAAAGTCCGCGCTGGGCAGCGGCGGGGCCCACCCAAGCTCCTGGTCTTACCTTGACCGCTTGGCGGCCGTGCACCTCCCGGACTGGGCTCTCGCCGCCCTTCTCAGGCGTCGAATCCCGGATTGGAGAGCCTGAGAACTCCGGGCTAGCGCTGCAATTGCGGCGAGGCCGGCGGGCGAAGGGTGCGCCGGGCGCGCAGCTCGCAGTTTGGGGTGGGGGCGGCGGCTTTTCAGTCGTCGGCGGTGCGGGCGCAATAAAGGCGCCGCTAATGTAATTTACAAACAGCTCGGGCCGAGCGCGGCGCGGCGCCGGACTGACAGGCGCATTAGGCAGGCTAATTCCAGCCGGCTCCTCCTACCCCCGGCCCGCTAATTAATGAGCTTCCCAACTTAGAGCTGCCTGCATTGGACAGACAGAGAGTGAAAGAGAGGGCGAGGGCGAGGGAGAGAAGGAGAGAGACGGGGGGAGCGGAGAAGAGAGAGGGAGGGAGGGAGGAAGAGAACAGGAGGAAAGAGGACAGAGAGAAAGAAGGGAGGAGAAAGACAGGGGGAAAGGAGAAAGAGAGAGAGAGTAGTGTCTCTGCATATAATTGATTACTCCTGAATCAAGGCTAACTTGTTAGCAATAGTCAATTGCCCCATCTCTCCGCCTCCCCTCGCAGTACGGGATCGGCGCCCTCGCCTCGGCTCTTCCAACTGCCGCCTCCAGGACCCGGGGCCAGGAGCTGCCGCGGAGCCACCTGACACCTTTAAATAGCACCAGGGCTGGCGAAACTGGAGCCCCGTGCGGCGCACCCCGGCTCGGGCCCCGGATTGCTGGAAGCCCCGGCGGAGGCAGTGCCCGCGTCAGCACCCTCTTCCCGGGGCCCCGTGCAGCTCTGCTCGCCTCTGTCGCCGCGCTAATCGGCCCCGCGTACGGCCGGCGCTCGGCCGGCGCCCTGCCCGGCGCGGCCTCCTTCTCGTCCGCCGCTGCCTCTCTCCCGCGCCGCCCAGCGCCCGAGCTGCCCGCGGGCTGGGTCCCCGAGGCCCGAGCCGCCCCGGCCGGGCCCCCAAACGAGGCCGAGATGACTTCCAAGGAGGACGGCAAGGCGGCGCCGGGGGAGGAGCGGCGGCGCAGCCCGCTGGACCACCTGCCGCCGCCCGCCAACTCCAACAAGCCCCTGACGCCGTTCAGCATAGAGGACATCCTCAACAAGCCGTCTGTGCGGAGAAGTTACTCGCTGTGCGGGGCGGCGCACCTGCTGGCGGCTGCGGACAAGCACACGCCGGGCGGCTTGCCCCTGGCGGGGCGCGCACTGCTCTCCCAGACCTCGCCGCTGTGCGCACTGGAGGAGCTCGCCAGCAAGACCTTTAAGGGGCTGGAGGTCAGCGTCCTGCAGGCAGCCGAAGGTAGGTGCTGCCACTAGATTCCCCTACGCCCCAGAGCCCAGCTGCCCGTGCCCAGCGCGCTTTGTGCCCTCTGCCTCTACTCTCCTCCCGCGCCGGCGTCAGGGCCCTCCAGCCGAAACCGCTGCCGCTAAGTGTGGAGATGGGTGGGACAGGACCCAAATCCTATTTCCTAGGGACCTCTGGATAGGCCAGAGTGTCAGGAAGGGATGGTGGAAACACAAGTCTCTCTGTAGTCGGCCTGCTCTGCCTGACTCCCTCCTGTTCCCAATGGCCTGGGCACTCTTAGTCCTGTTCCGGGGATGAGGAATGGAGAGCCTTCTGCTGCGAACTTTTGGGTAAGGGTAGAGTTGTGGTCCTTGTAAAGAGGTGGAGTACCAACACGCATACAAAAGTCAGGACATCCCCGTCTGGCTCCTTCCTGCTCTAGCAACCTTGGGTCTTTCAAACCAACTCTTGGGGGGCGGGGATGGGGGAGAGAAAACAAAACAATTTTTTTCTAGGGACTTCCGGTAGAAGAGAGACGGGGGAAGAGGGTTTGCCATTGACGAGGCTTGCCTTAGTCCGGGAAGCTTAACCAAAACCGAGAAGGGAACTGTGGCAAACCGCAGGCCGGATGAGCCTAGGTGGGGTGAGCAAGAGACGGGGTGGGGCCTCTTCTCCCCTGGCGCAAGACTATACTATGGTTTCCTCGCAGGCCGAGACGGGATGACCATCTTTGGGCAACGGCAGACCCCCAAGAAGCGGCGAAAGTCTCGTACGGCCTTCACCAACCACCAGATCTACGAGTTGGAGAAGCGATTCCTCTACCAGAAGTACCTGTCCCCTGCCGACCGAGACCAAATCGCGCAGCAGTTGGGCCTCACCAACGCTCAGGTCATCACCTGGTTTCAGAATCGGCGCGCCAAGCTCAAGCGGGACCTGGAGGAGATGAAGGCCGACGTGGAGTCCGCCAAGAAACTGGGCCCCGGTGGTCAGATGGACATCGTGGCGCTGGCCGAACTGGAGCAGAACTCGGAGGCTGCCGGCGCTGGTGGCGGCGGCTGCGGCAGGGCCAAGTCGAGGCCTGGCTCTCCGGCACTCCCTCCAGGCGTTCCGCAGGCCCCGGGCGCCGGGCCCCTGCAGCTCTCGCCCGCCTCCCCACTCACGGACCAGCCAGCCAGCAGCCAGGACTGCTCGGAGGACGAGGAAGACGAAGAGATCGACGTGGACGATTGAGCGGAGCCCAGAATCTGCCGCCGCACGGGGCCCCTGGAGCCGCGGGCCTGCAGCCTCCCGGACCGGACCGCGGAGGGGAGCTGGGACCTCCTCTGCAACTCCCGCCTTCTCCCCTGTCCTTGGCCCAGACTGGGCTCCCAGCAGCCGCCTCTTCCCTCTCGAAGCAATAAACCCCGGCTGGGCTGGCCGGCCGGGCCGGCCGCTGGCGTAGCCTCCGCAGACCGCCCGGGGAGCCCTCGCCGGGCAGTTCTGTATGGCTTCTGTATAAATATTTAAACCTATATAGCGGGTTCTTCCCACCGCAGCCTGCCTTTTTTGTTTCTTTTTAAATTTTTTAAGATCTCGGAGGTTTTCATGTTTTCAAAGCTCGTAGGCTGCCGGGTTTGCTGAGGGAGAGGCAGAGCCGAGGGTAACGGACACTGAACCCCCGCGGTCTGGAGGAGGGGGCCACCCGACTGTTTCGATTTTTCTCTGCATGTGGCGAATGCACCGGCCCTCTCCCTCCTCGCCTCCCCGGGCCTATTGCAGTTGACTTCTTTTATTTTCTTCTGCATTTTTCCCCGAGTCAGAAGCGGCTGAGGTGGGCAGCCGGAGCCTGACTTGCAAGTTCCAAATTGATCTTTTCTTCCTCCCCTAAGAGAAGTCTCTTTCCGATGCCATTTCTGCCTCCCAATACCCACTAGCGCTATTTTAAAGATTCCTCTCCACCCTCTCTCGGTTTCCTTGGACCGACTGCTGGGGTCCGGGTCTTAGGGACAAAACGGGGAAATCCAGCCAACAAACCAACCAACGAAAAAGGAACCCAAAGCCCTAGAATTATTTTTTACTCTTTTTAGAATTTTTTTGCATGTGACAGAGACTGAGAGGAGGCCAACCTAAGTCCTCACCCCACCTCCTCCACAGCTCTGGGTCTGTCTCCAACGCCCGCTCCTAGGTGGACTTGGCCAGGCAAGGTGGCCAGATGAGGGTGGGTCCCACGTGCTCCTTCCCCGCTCCTGCCCTGCCTTCTCCTCCCCGGACTGTACCCAAGGCCTCTTTCTCCAATAAATAAAGTCTTTGCCATTTTACTAGAAGCGGTGGTGACCGTGTCTAAATGAGTGGGCCCTTTGCAGGGAAGCGATGGCAGGCCCAGGGTCTCGCTGCTGCTCGTTGCCGGCGGCCCGGCCTTGGAGATTTGGAGGAGTTTCAGGGCAGGCGTGAGAATGAGGGGTGAGAGGGAAGCAGTGGGAGGAAGCGTTTCTTGCCCGCAAACACGCGGCAGGCTCCAAATGAGGTGGGGGCGTGTAAGACAAGTAGGCTTCGTCAGGTCAGGGTAAAAAGCAGGCGTGCAATGCTGGGTGCGAGTGCGGGCGTATGTTGGGGGCGCCACGGATATGAAATTAATTTGCCTGAGGCAAAGGGTGGGGAGGGACTTGCCCTGTGGTTCGTGCACCCTAACCGGGACCCAAGGACATTCTTCCTGCACTCCCTGGGGCCACGCTAAGTCCCGGGTGAGTGACAGGTGTAGCTCAGCCGGGCACAGGGTGGGGTCTGAGGGCTCCTGAGTTTCGGTTCTGCCGGAGGGCCTCACACTTGGGCCAGGGAGAAAAATGAGGCCGAAGGCACCGGAGGACAGACTGAACTGCTTACACAGGCACGGGGAGATGTGAGCCCAAAGCGCCTGAGAGTTGGGATGAATTTCTGGTGACATTCACAAATTCTGGGTCCCGAACTCGGCTGGGGGCAGTGACATCAATCTCCCAAGGACTCTCTGGGGTCCCCGCGCCCAGAGTGGGGCTGAAGCAGGGACGGAGGCAGCTTTCACTTTTCCGGACTGAGCGGGTTTCTCTCTGGGCTTTTGTTGTCTCTGGGCTGGCGAGTGGCCGCTGTCACCGGAGGAGGGTCCCGCCTCCAGGCCGCTCAGCTCCCTTTCTCCGCAAAATTGATGTGAGAAATGCGCATCTGGTCTCGGGCAGGCGATGGGGCCCCGGGGCCTGAGTCGGGAACGGTCGTGTCCGGGAGGAAACTGAGAAACAGAGGAACAGAAAAAGAAGGGGCACAGAATGCACTCCGAAAGCAAAGCGAGAAAGTAGGAAGCCACAGAGGGGGAGAAAGAGGAAGAGAGGGAGAGGAAGAGAGAGAGAGAAAGGAAGAGAGTGTGTGTGAGAGAGAGAGAGAGAGAGAGAGAGAGAGAGAGAGAGAGAGAGAGAGAGAGAGAGAAGAAAGAGAAGGGAGAGGAGAGAACCAAAGAAGGAAAGAGGCGGCCGGGCAGCCGGGCCGGCGTGCGGCCGTTTCTCCTGGGCGACATAAATCGCCCTCTCTCAGGATGGATGGGTCTGTAATTCGGAGCGCGGACCATGAAGGCCGGGACGAATGGACCCGGGCGGCCGCTGACAGGCGACAATAGCCGGGCCCAGCCCCCCGCGGCTCCGGGTGCGGGCGCGGCCGCGGCCCTCCGCAGCCCAGAGCGCGCCGGCGCTGGCGACCATATGGTTTTTGAATTTTCTTCACAATTTGTAGACAATTTGATGGATTAGGTCCCCGCGCGCGTCTCCCCGGCACAAAGGCGGCGCAGGGACCGCGGCGCGGCGGTCACCCGGGCATCTGCGCCCGCCGTGCGCAACCCCCCCACTGGCCCCCCGCCCCGCGCCCGGAGCCCCAGGCCGCCCGCCCAACACGCCCATGAATCCCAATGAAGCGGTCCTGGCACCTCTGGCCACTTCCCGCTTCGCGGCCCCGGGCGGGGCCCTACTGGGTCCCTTCGGGCGAAGGGCGGCGGCCTCGGGGCTGAGCCCACCCGAGCTGCGGCGCCCGCGGGGCGCGCGGCTAAGCAGGCGCATCGGGGCTGAGGAGAAACGGGGCCATTTATCCGCCCGTCTAGTTAAAGCGGGTTATTTGTTTGCTTCTCCGGCCTCCCCCTCCCCTCCCCTCCCCTTCCCCTCCTCCCCCCTCCTTCCCCTTCTGCCTTTTATTCTTTTGTCTCTAAATGGATTTAATGAGCCTGAAAAACATGACAATTGAATATACACAAGAAATAAAAAATGACGAGGAAGGAAGGAAGGAGGAAAGGAAAGAAGGGAAGAGGAAGAGGAAGAATTAATAAAATAAAGGGAAAGATTCATTCAATTCATCAAATGTTTATTGTGTGTCTTTTCGGTGCCAGGCCGCGCTGGGGGCTAGGGACAGAGAAACGAATGCGACCCAGTCCCTGCCCTCAAGGAGCTCCCAGTCTAGCGGTGGACGCGACCGGCCGCACCCCCGACCGCAGGAGGCCCGGGCCGATGGGGGAGGAAGCGTGCATTTGCAGAACTCGGAAAGAGGACTTTGGGCTCCGGGTGGTGGAGTCTTCGCGGAAGAGGTGGCTTTGGACCCAGGCCTTGAAAGACAAGAAGGAATTCGTTGTTTTTATGGGCCAAAAAGAAGGGCCTGCGAGGGAAGGAACTGTCGCCAGCGGGAAGGGGACAGAGACGCGCTCAGGAGCCCCGGGCTGAGCCCCCAGTCGGGAGGCCCGGGGGAAGCGCGCCGCGTGCTTGGTTCCGCGCGCACTTGGGGGAGCGGATTTGACCTGCCCCGCAGCCTCTTCGGCTCCGCTCGCTTCCGCACCGACCCCAGGCCGCCGGTAGGCTTCCCGAGCCCCGCCGACAGCCCGTGCGGCCGTTGAGGCCCGACTCCACCCGACAGAGCACAGCCGCTTGTGGCTGCTTCTCTGGCCCCATCGCGCAACGAGGCGGCGGCCTGAGGGCTTGGCTGCGGGCAAGAGCCTGGGGCTGGGATGAGGGGCCTGGGTTTCAGCCCACCCTCTCCTCGGCGATCTGGGCTCTGACGGGAGCTGCTACCCGTGCGCAGGCCTCGGCGCTCAGATGGCCTCGGCCGAGCCTCGGGCGCTCCCCCAGGGGCCTGTGACGGAGAGGGCCTCAAGCGCAAGCGCCTGCCCTGGGCCTCTGACCTGGTGACCGCCCGGCCTGTCCTAGGTGCGACTGTGTGTGCTGCGTGTGCCGCCCATGTGCCCTCCGTGGGAGCGGGGCGTGTGCACTTCGTGCGTTATTCTCTGAGCGTGTGTGGCGTGGGCCGTGCGAGGGGCCGCGGGTCCCGCGCCCATTCTCAGGCGAGGTTCATTAAGGCTTGGGGCAGTCTGGGCCGCCGGCCCTGTGCCCGGCGTCACTCTCACTGCCTGGGGCCGTTGCAGACGAGGGAATCCAGGACTCTGGCTTCCCTGCAGACCCGCTTTAGGTTCCCGGCTGCCCAGGGGGAGGAGACCCGGCTTTGTCTTTTCCTTCCCAGTTAGGCCCGGGCCTCGACCCGGCTCACTACGTCCCTGGGGAAGGGCGGTTTCTGATCTCACGGCCTGGGACGCCTCGGCCGCGCGCCGACTGACCCGGCCCCACCGCGCGATATGGCTGGCTCGCTCTCCCCGCTCCGCCTTCCCCGGCCGGGGGCTGGCGGGCGTCGCCGGGTGAGGCCGGGAGGCGCAGTTCCTTATTTTACGAGGTGTCGGGCCGGTGTCAGACGCAGCTCCGATAAGTAATACTCCAGTCTGAGGGACCAGAACGTGGTAATTAATCCCAAAGACTTAAGTGTATTTTAGTTCAGGAGGAAAAAAAATCACTAATTCAATCGTCCGGAAAATTGAAGTTTGATGCATGAGTCCCCCCTGAAAGGGACGGGCTGGGGCCGCGCGCCTCCCCTCCGCCCCTGCCAGTTGCCGCGGGGACCCTTCCTCCCCACCCTTCTGAGCTTTCAGGTACAGGGAAGTCCACTCACCCGACCCTGCAGGTCCCCAGCCACTCAAACCTGGGGCACCTGGGCTTTGCCCCCCACCCCAGTCGTCAACCCATTTTTCTTGGGGCCCAGGAAGTGGTTGTGCTGAGAATACAGATGTTCCCTAACACACACACACCTGCACAGGGGCACAAGGGGGAGCGGGAAGTGTAGGGGGAGTGACCAGAGGAGAGGCCCAGAGTGGACAGGGTCAGAGGCTGCAGAAGGCGCATGGGAGAAGGGACTGTAAACCTGAGGGAACTGGGGTCCTGAGGGACATCGGGTGGAGGTCGCTGCTGTGAAGTGCAGAAGGACATGTGCTGGCTTTGAGGGGGCGTGGGTGGGTTAGAACAGTGGCTGCTTGGCTTTTTCGGGGAATGGGTGCGTCTCTGGATGGTGTATGTGCCTGAAGAGGTCTCAGGCAGAGGCTGGCACTCCTGGGACAGCTGGGAGCTTGTCCCCAAGCTGCTCCACGGGCTGTGTCTCCCAAAGGAGAGGCTCCTGGTACTGGAGCAAAGGAAGGTGAAGGTGCCTCAGCCTGATGCAGGTATGTGAAGGGGGAGCAGTACTCTGGAGAGAGGAGAATCCCCACCTAAGTTTCCTTGGGGGCCCCACCTCCGTACCTCAAGATCCAGGGCTTCCATCAGCAAGTCAGCTTGTCTCCTCCTAACCAATACCAGTCCTAGGAGAGGCCTGAGGTTGAGGATGTGTGTGTGTGTGTGTGTGTGTGTGTGTGTGTGTGTGTGTCTAGGTTTGAAGGCATCAACAGGATGTGTCACTGAGTGTGTCCGAGATTTGTGCAACTGAGTAACTGGGCATGTGTGGCTGATTGATGGAAACAGAGCATTGCAACTGGGGGTGATTGGGGGTGTGCTGTTGTGTTTGTGTAACCGATTGTTGCAAACTAGTGTGTGCAACTAGGTGTGACTAAATTAGTGCAATGGAGAGGAAAGAAGTAAAGCTGTCACTGGGTGGGTGTGACCAAAGAGTGAGTGATGCCCCCGGGTGTGTGATGTATGCTGGGAGCTGGTGTGAGCAGATAACTAGGAGAAGGAACACTGATGTGGAACTGAAGCTGAAGACAAGACTCCTGGCTCCAAACAGCTTGACCAAGCTGGCTACTCAGATTTACACTTACGGTGGGTGGGGTGGGGGGTGACGGGAAGCACAAGACCTGATGGGAGGGGGCTCATGAGAGGAGTGGCAGGACATGGGGTGGAGGGCCTCAGCCTGGGCATGTATCTGCTCTGAGAGCAACTGAGGCCAGTGAATCAACACTATGTCAGTCGGAATCTGCTTCTTTGAGAACAGGCTGGG